ACCGCTCTGAGGTCCCGAGCTAATGGCAGTATTATCCCGGTGGAAGCCCATCTGGGAAGGGACCTGTGCCTAGTTGCCAACCTACCTCTCCTTATACATGGAGAACCCAGAGGTAAAGTCTACTGTCCTAGATAACTTTATGTCTGTAATTTTTAATATAAATCACAGGATGGGACAGAGGCAAGATCCAGGAGTGGTGAGGGAATTCAGCTCTCAAGAAATGGTCAGAAAGGCTCATTCTGCTAAAAGGAGAGCATCCTGTGAGGTCTTACCTGCTTGTTCAAAGCAAGTGACCTTATGCCAATAAGTAACTGAAAAAAAGTTAAAGCCTTCTCTTTCTAATTTTCCTCCATTTCCTTTGTTAAAGAGAATGATCTTCAACTTGGAACGGTTAATAAACATGATTACTGGGTAATGAGGAACCAAGATAGATGATGGCAGTGCTCAAGGAGAACCCTGCTGCTGTACATGAGCTCAGCTCTCCTGATTCCAACTAAATATATCCAAGGACTTCTCAATGTGACCTCGGAACCCCTACTGGTAAATATCCTGAGAAATCAGGAAGCTGCGAGGTAGCGGGGAGGGAACTGGAGATGGAGACATGGTGTCCAACTTTGAGAACGTAGATTCCAGAAATGACAGGCTGGTATGTCTGATGTTGACCTGTGGTCAGGTTTTCAGCTCAGAGTCCAAGGCAGCACTTTGTTGGAAGGATCTGGGCTCCAGGGCCCCAGACCTGCATTTGAATCATGACCACATGGCCCTTGGCAAGTGACTTTACTTTCTTGAACCTTGTTTCCCCCTTTTTTTGCAAAGCAGGTGTAATACACATGCCTTCCAGGGGTGAAGGTCAGAGATGATGTGTGTAAAGTGCCTAGATCAGTGTCCAGGATGCTCAATCAATAGTAACAATGGCTGCTTTGTGGGTATGATTATTGCTGCCTGTTTTATTATTGGCACTCACAAGTCCTCTGCTCTGGGTACCTCCTTTGCCTTTCTCTTCCAGGCATGCCCTTGGCTGTAGTCCCTGTTTCCTAAGTCGTTCCCAGTGTCCAGGCAAAATGACGGATTCTCCTACACTTGGGACTCCCCGTGGCCCACCCCAGCCGGGCTGTGTGTAGGTGAGTGGCATGGAGCAGTAAGTAGCACCACCCAGTGGCAATCTGTTTTCGGCCCACATTAGTAGCCAGCCTAAAGATTGAACATTTTGGAGGGTCACCTACGTCAGTGGCCCATCCAATGTTTGTGTGGTCCATCCAGTGCTTTCGCGTGCCACAGCATCCTCCCAGAGGCTTTCCCATGCTATGCATTGGAGTAAAAGAATGAAAATAAAGACAAGTTCTTAGTGTTCTGCTCCTCAGAGACCACAAGGTGGCGCAAAAGCAAAGTTTTTTTCAAAGCGTCCCACCAAATCCGCAGAGACAGAAAGGAGATTGATCTGTGGTTAGTGGTTGCCTGGGGCTGGGGTGTGTGAAAGAAACTGGGAGTGACTGCTAAAGGGCCTAGGGTTTATTTTCAGGGTGATAAAAATGTTCTAAAAGTTGATTGCCGTGATGGTTGCACAGATCTCTGAGTATACTAAAAGCCACGGCGGCGTACACTTTTAAAGTGGTATGTGAGTTATAATTCCCTAAAACTGCTACCAAAAAAAGGTGAAAAGAATATCAGAATTTTCAAAGAAAAAGTATCTCCAAAGCATATCATCACATTTTCTGTGTACTATTTTGACAACTTCTACCAGCTTCCTGTGGACCCAAGACTCGGGTCATGAGAGGGTGTCTGTTACCTCACTTGAGACCTACTTCTACAGGAAGAATGTAAACACTCCTGTCCTGAGCAACTCCCATGCAAATATTCTCAGCCCCGATAAGGCATTATTTAAAATAGATCAAAGTACATGATCTACAATATATAGAATTGATGCATGGAGCCCCCATTATCCCATATTCTTGGTATCCACAGAGCTGTATGCCTGGTAAGCCTGGGGAACTTCCTTTCTAGGCGAGGAAATCAAGGGTCAGAGGTTCAGTAGCCCAGCTGAAACCAGCGAGTGGGTGGGTGGAGCTCTAATCTCAGCCTCACACTTTGAGTCCACACTCAGAGCTCTGGCCATTTCAATAGGGGACCATACATCTCACTTTACACCGGTTGTCCCTGAGAAATTATTAGTGTATTATTTGTCACCCTCCTTTCCCTCTTGAGGTAATACATTTCATGGCTGCCTAACCATGGGGCAGGCTTTTTCCCGGGGCTCTGCCTCCTTTGTAACTAAGACTGATGCCTCAGAGCTGGTGCTGTGGTCAGGCCCACAGCGCCTCAGCACTTCCTAAAGCACCCACCAAACCCCTCCCCCGCCCAGAACATAGACACAGAGAGTAGGTTGGTGGTTGCTGGGGACCTCGGGGAAGAGAGGAATGGGTTTCTTTTGGGGGTGATAAAAAATAATTGAAATTTAGTTATAGTGACTACACAGCTTTGTGAATATACTAAACACCACAGAATTTTAAAAAGGAAAAAAAAAAAAAGTGAGGCTGGGACACAGCAAAGGGCTTTTCTAAACATGCATCCCAGCTGGCCTTCGCACTTACCATGGTTAGGACAGGACAGCAGTGAGCAGGATCAGGTGAACAGAGCAGGAGAGATTAAGCATAGCCCCCACCCTACCCCACCCCACTTTTCCTATAAATAAGGCTGATTACTTTGGCCAGCACTGCTGTTTACACTTGGGCATCAAATAGCCCCAGAGAAACACCAGAGTAAGGCACACAAAGGCCTGAGACATTTAATCCTCGCAACCCTATGAAACAGGTATTATCCCCATTTCACAGTTAAGCAAACTGAGGCTCAGAGGCCAGCAGCTAGTGAGGGGCACAGCTGGGATGTGAATACGGCTATCAGGGCCCCGAGTGTTTGTTCAAAGCCACTGCACTAGTGTGTCCCCACTTACCCCAACTCACCAAAATCACTGAAAGACAAAGACTATAGCTGGAAGTGTCATGAAAGGACCAGTGAGGAGTACTGCTAAAGGCCCAGGGCCAGGAGAGTACCCTTGTGGTTGTCTTTTGTACAAATACCCTGTGAGCTTTCCATAGAAAGTCAGCTAAGATAGAAAAGGAGCGATTTTAAAGTAGTTCAAGACATTCAGAAGAACATGGCTGCCTTCTCTTCCTTCCAAAACAAGTTTTTTATTGTTCAACCAATCAACAGTGTTCAGGGAAGCCTAGCACTGTATAAGTACACTGCACTAAGCATAAATACATAAGTCCCGGCCAATTTAAGCACAGAATCTAAACATTTCTCAGGGATTACTCCATGGTTAAACAAGCAAATCTGGACTTAGCTGACAATATTGCAATGAACAGTCTTTAAAGTCAACATTTTAAAGAAAAACATTACACCTACACTTGTCATGGTATGCAATTTCTCCCCAGTAATGTCAACTTCATTGTTATCCATAAACAAGGTATACTTTTCTAAAAATTCACCTTTGTTAAAATAAACCTCTGTAACTTCAATATTTTTTTAAAAGGAACTTTAAAAGGTAAAGTAGTGGAAATGTGTACAAATTTGGCCATCAAATGTCTGAGCAAAAGAGCTCGAGACTATTGAGAGAACTTAACCCATCTCCAAGCCGTTTTCATTAACATTTTGACAACATAAAGCATGTTTCCATGTAAGACCTACCACCATCCAGAAGAGGGAGTCAGTACCATGGACAGCGGTACAGGCTAGCCATTACCAGGAGGGCAAAATTTTGCACCAACTCAGGCAATAAATACCAGGGGTTGGGGGAATTTTGTCCTCTGAATTAACCTCTTGATTCTCTCACAAACTCTCATAACTCACAGGTGTGTAATTCTGGGAACAGAAATTAGCCCAAACCAGAAGTTGGATTGAGATACTGTACAGGGTGATGATGCATTCCCAGGAGCAAACCTCCTGCTTTGAAAACGAGAACATTCAGCACAGAACAGAGAAGCGAGAGAAGCAGTCTCAGGAGCCTGAAACCTGAGAGGGTGACGCAAGGACACAAACATGACTGTCACCTTGCTTTCTTTTCCAGAACCTTCGCTCGGCTGTGGTCCCAGCAAAGAGCTTTAGCCCAGGCTGGTTACTATCCAAAATGGTCTCCATTTTGGAAAAAAAAAAAAAAAAAAAAGAGGCAAATGAGGGAAGGAACTGGATCAGTTTTTAAAAAATATATTTTATTGATTTTGTACAGAGAGGAAGGGAGAGAGAGAGTTAGAAACATCGATGAGAGAGAGTCATGAATCAGCTGCCTCTTGCACACCCCCTACTGGGGATATGCCCGCAACCAAGGTACATGCCCTTGACCGGAATTGAACCCGGGACCCTTCAATCCCCAAGCCGACGCTCTATCCGTTGAGCCAAACTGGTCTCGGCCGGAACTGGATCATTTTCTAGTGTTTATGTAGACTGGATACTCTAGTGAAAAAGACCACTGATTCCTTGAAATAAAGTATGTTATACCAGGAAGTTGGGGCTGGGATGCAGCTGAAAGAAAAAGTTCAATTCTGAACTTCAAACCTGTGGTCAGCAAGTGCCTTTTGCTTGAAAGCACTGAATAGTGAGCATCTAGCTCTGGCAGTGATAGGAAGAGTGACAGTTCCTTCCTTTTCATAGACTCTGAAGTCTAAAAGGACCCAGGGTATGCAGAGACGCCAGATCCAGGGCTTCACAACTGAACGTGGTCCTCATGCCAGCAGCCCTTCTCCTCTCCACCATGACCACCACTCTGGCTCCTGTGCACCCGTCAGCCCTCTGATCAACTGTAGAAATGATCATCAAAGCTCCTGCTATAGGAGGTAGTGTACAAAATGTAACGCTGGTTTTTCTTGAAATGTGACACTGGTTTTCTTATAGCAGATACAAGGCACATATGAACGCTGCCCCACTCCCAGCCACACATCCACACTTGCTCCTGGCACACACACAAGCAGCTGATTCTGCCATGATGCACAGGAATGGATTGCTTCCAGTCACTTCTGGTTCTTAAGCTGGTCGGAGAACCAGTCCAGGCCTTTGTAAAGCCCCTCTCCACTGGTGGCACAAGTAGCCTGAATGTGCCAGTTTCTCTGGCAGAAGGACTGTAAGCCAAGCTTGTCTGTTATTTCTGCTGTGCTCATAGCATTGGGAACATCCTTGGAAGAGAATATTCAAAAGTCAGTTTATAATGTTGTATTCATATAATGAAATATCCCATGCTTTAAACACACACACACACACACATGTTTTTTATGATATATATATGATCTTCTCCCCAAACCTGCCCCAACCCACAGACTTATCTCAGCTGATAGCAAATCTAGCCTTTAGTTGCAAAACCTTAAAATCATCCTTAATTTTTTTTTTCTCTCTCTCTCTCACAACTCCACATTAGGAAATCCTACAGACTCTACCATCTAAATATATTCAGCATCTGACCATTTCTCACCCCACCTTCACAGCTACACCCTAACCCCACCACCATCATGACTCACTTGGATTATGTACGTAACTTCTTTATTGGTCTCCCTGCTTCTGCTCTTGTTCCCCTAAAGTCTATTGTTAATACTAGTCAATTAAAATCAGATCAAGTCATTCTTCTATCAAAATCCTGCAACAGCTCAGTCTCTCTGGGGGTCAGTGTCCTTCTGATGGTCTGTAGGCCTTCATAACCTGAGCCCACATGACTTCGCCAAACAGTCCTGCTTAATCTTTTTAAATACAGCACTCGGCACATGTTACTATATTATAACGTTTACTTACTTAGTGTGCTTTTTCTTGTCCATCTCCCCTAACGAGAATGTAAGCTTCACAAAGGCAGGACTCTATCTCTTTCTCTGATGTATCCCAAGTGCACAGAACTGTGTCTGGCACACAGCAAGCTCAAACTAAATATGCATAAATTAGCACTAACAAACCAGGTAGATCTGTTGTATTGATATGGAAGTTTGGTCAAAGATATTCTAATTGAAAAAGGCAGGTTGCCAAACAATGCAGACTATATGATCTCCACAATTTAAATTGAATATAGTCATTTAACTGCTTATATAGGCATAGAAAGTTCTACCTTTGGAAAGAGGTAAGAAATGTAACAATTTACCCTGAGGAATGGGACTAAGAATTTCACTTCACTTGATATTTTGAAGTGTTTGCATACTTATACCATGAACATATTCTGCTTTTATAATTAAAATGATAAATCTGTTTCTTTCCTGCACCCTCCCTCCCCCTATGTTCACTAGTGAAATTCTGAAATGACATCGAACCTAACAGTAGGGTCATGGTTGAGTAAATGATGATCCATTCGCCCTTTAATATCAACTTTAAAATCATGTTTACAAAGAGATGAATGACAAGAGAAAATGCTTTCCACAAATCAAAAGTGACAAAACAGTATGCAACACTGTCTAAACAGTACGATTTCAATCATATGATGAATATATTCATGGAGGACAGAGTAGGAGGAAACCTATCCCAAGGTGACTGTCATTATCTCAGGCTGGTACATTCCACATGATTCTACCTTCTTTCCCATACTTCGCTCAGCTTCAAGTTCTGTTCTACACTGGGCCCTCCTCCTACTCTTTTACAGCTTATATTACCCTAGAGGCCTGTTGCACGAAGAAATTTGTGCAGTAGGCCTTCCTTCCCTTGGCTTCCAGCACTGGTTTTCCTCCGGCACCTGGGATCCAGGCCTTTGCTCCGACCGGAGTCTGCCATCTTCATCTTCGATTCAGACTATGGAGTCTGCAGTCTGCAGTCTTCACTGCGGCTGGACTGCCGCTACTGTAGATCCCTTGCGCCCCCCCCCCCCCCCCCCCGCCCTGCCTCCCTCTCATAGCAGGTGTCCTGCCCCGCCCGGCTACTCTGTGCCTGGAGCAGCTGGCAGCTGCTGCTTATTTGTCCTTTTAATTTGCATATTCCCTCCTGATTGGCTGGTGGGCATAGTGGAGTGATGGTCAGTTTGCATGTTTCTCTTTTATTAGTGTAGTCTAGAGGCCCATTGCACAAAGAGATTCGTGCAATAGGCCTTTCTTCCCCTAGCTGCCAGCACTGGTTTTCCTCCGGCACTCACAACCCAGGCCTTCATTCTGCACTGCCTTCAGTCTTCCCTCTGGGCAGAGCACCACTCCTGTAGCTCCCTCTGTCCCCCCAACCCCCTCATAGCAGGCTTTCCACCTTGCCTGGCCACTCCCTGCCTGCATTCATGCTGCTCAGAGGCCTGGAGGAACTGGGGGTGAGGCCACCACCATCATTATTTGCATACTCACTCCTGATTGGCTGGTGGGCATAGCAAAGTGACGGTCAATTTTCATGTTTCTCTTTTATTAGTGTAGATTTCCTCCTTAGTGATAGCCCTGTAAGATCTAATCATTCCCTCCCTAGTCCACTCCCAACTCTGCTCCAGTGTCACTGGCTGCCTTGCTGTTCCTAGAACCCTGGGGCTCCCTTCCTGCTGGACTTCAAGTCTCTGCTCAGATGTCATCTTATCAGAGAGGCATCCTGGCCCTTCCCCATATCCATTCTGCTTTACTTTCCCCCACAACACTTCCACTGGACACATTACATATTATGTATTCACTGACTCTCCTCCCACTAGGATGTAAACTCCATAAACACAGAGACTTTTGTCTGTCTTGTTCACTGATGTTATCACCAATCCATAAAACAATGACTGGAACTTAGATGCTCAATGAATATGTGTTGAGTGGATGAATGAATGAATATAAGACAAATGCTATAAAGCAGGTGGAGGGAGAGGTCATGGTAGGGGCTGGAAAGAGAGAGGCAGACATCTACTTTAAATATCTATTATTTTTAAGTGATCAACTAGCAGTAAGTTTCAGTTTCAGTATTCAGAAAGCCAACAACATACCTGTTTGTTTGCAAACACCAACAATACTGCATCTAGGAGCTCATATTCCATTAACAATTTGGTTAGCTCTTCTTGGGCCTCACTGATCCGTTCTCTGTCGTTGCTATCGACCACAAAAATCAGACCTGGAGAGACATCACAAGCATGTCAGTGATCTGAACCTGGAAAGGGCAGCCGTTGATATCTCCTTACAGCTTCTCCTTGCTCACCTGTGTTTTCACCGAAAGCAATCCTATGAAAGGATATATAATCCCAAGAGTTAGGAAGTGTACTGTACACCAACTAACCTATCTTATTCAGAAGATTTCATAGCCCTTCACCAGATTACACAAAATATACAGAGAAATATACAAAGAAAAGGTTTTTAATCACTCATTAAAAAACAAACAAACCATTTTTTATTCATTTTAGAGAGGAAGGGAAAGAGGTAGAAATATCAATGTGAGAGAGAAGAGAAACACTGATTGACTGCCTCCTGCATGCCCCCTACTGGGGATTAAGCCCACAACCCGGGCATGTGCCCTTACCAGGAATCAAACCGTGACTTCCTGGTTCATAGGTTGACACGCAATCACTGAGCCACAAGGCTGGGTTCAAGCATGCATCTTTTGATACATTTAATAGAAACAGTTCCAAGCCTGTAGATTGGATCATCCTTACCATTGGTGTTTTTGAAATAATGTCTCCACATAGGTCTGTGTTTACAGTGGCTATTGACATCCCAGATGGTGAGGCTGATATTGTTATATTCCACCGTCTCCACATTGAAACCTAAATTGAAAAGATGGAGACAAATTCTAGTGATGACTTTTGCTGGTGGAACAATTCCAAATAATTTCAACTGACATTTGGCCAGCTTTAACATTTGGACTTTTAATTTGCAAAGCAGCATGCTAGTCAAAGATGTATAACTTACAAAACAGAATGTGTTAGCTTGCTCTCCCATTCAGCATGAATTTGTCTCAAACCTTCCCTTATTCTCTCCAACCTCCAACCTCCCACTTTCCCCCTTTCTCTCAGCAAAAAGATCTTAACAGTGTACTTGAAAGCAAACAGAAGCCGTTAATGGGACTGGCTTCCACTTTCCGCCGCACAATGTGGAAACCTTCCTACTCCTTTCGTCCCTCCCTCTTAGAGCCCTTCTCACTCAGGAATTTGGATCTAGAGGCAGTTCTCACAGCAAAGATTAAGTTCTATCAAAACCGCCTTTGCACAACCCTGAAATAGCCCACAAAACACAGTGCTGGTCTACAGCTTTGGAACAAATCAGATTTCACCAGCTCAAGCAGTTGGCTTGAACCAGAGTGAAGAAATAATCACACCCGCATCTTTAAACACCAGGAGCATACTTGGAGTGGAGAGATGCTTCCACGGAGGAAGGCCAGCTGGAAGGAAGACAGACTGGAGGGAACAGCAGATCTCCAGCTTCCCTCTCAGGCTGAGGCTGGGACACATGCTAACGGAGAAGAACGGAGGGCATCACTGCCCTCGCTGTTTTAATCATTACTATCTTTTACTTTCTTGCCTAGCAGCTAAGGCTAAGTTTGCTTAATCTAAATGTGTTTGTATGACTCCCCTGTAAATCTAGGAATGCACTGGAGGATGTTGGGGAGCAATTTATTAAGTATATATTACCTGGTTTTGGCATCAAAAAAGTTTAGGTCCTTGGGACAAACAAGATTTTCGAAAAGAAATATTTGATAATATAAGCAGCATGCTAACAGTTTAACAAACTCAGCTGTAACTTGGTGTGGCCACAGGTTGTTAACATACCTATTGTAGGGATAGTAGCCACAGTCCTTCCCAGCTTCAATCTATATAACATGGTGGTTTTTCCTACTCCATCCAAACCCAACATAAGAATCCGCACCTCCTTTTTCTCAAACAGACTTTTATACAGTTTTTCAAAAACATTCCCCATGGTAATTGAATTTGGTTACCTGAATGAAAAGAAAGGCAAGTCAAATAGTTGTTCTTTGCAGAGATGTGCAAACATATATAAAATACAAGTCTCTATTAACGGTGGATCCCAGGAAAGCTTTTTAAAATCATTTTTTATTTTTCAATTACAGTTGACATGCAATATTATATTATTCTAGAGGCCCAGTGCATGAATTCGTGTATGGGTGGTGTCCCTTCACCTGGTCAGCGATTGGGGCCAATCAAGGCTGTCTCGCCCAGTCCTGATTGGGGCCTATTGGGGTCAGTGGCTGGGGAGGGACCGCTGGAGGGACCATGGGTTGGCTCTAGGGCATGTCTGGCCTCAATCTCACCCAGTTCCAATCAGCTAGACTCCAGCAGCAAGCTAACTTACCTGTCAAAGTATCTGCCCCATGGTGGTCATAGTGACCAGTCAGTCAACCATTTGGTTGGACTTAACATCTTAGGCTTTTATATATACAGATTAGTTTCAGTGATTAGACATTATGTAACTTACTAAATGATCATCCCAATAAATATTGTACCCATCTGACCCCATACATAATTATTAGAATATATTATCTAAACTACTTTACATACCCACAACTGTTTTGTAACCACCATTTGCATGTCTTAATCCTTTTACCTTTTTTACCTTTTCACCCATTCCCCCAACACTCCCTCCTATCTGGCAACCATCAAAATGCTTTCTGTATCTATGAGTCTGTTCTGCTTATGTGTTTGTTTTGCTTAGTTTATTTTCTTTAATGTATTTATTTAAGGAGAGACAAATACAGAGACGGGGGGCAGGGAGACATCAACTTGTATTCCCACTTAGCTATGCATCCATTGGTTGATCCTTGTATGTGCCCTAACCGGAGATCAAATCCACAGTTTTGCCATATCAGGACAACGCTCTATCTAACGGTACACTTTTGCCAACAAAGAGTAGTATGTCTTCCCCCCGCCCCCAAAGGAAAACTCAATTAAGCCTTTTGATACCTTATCAGAAATTTGTCTTTTCCACTGCAGCATCTAAATGGGATAGGTAGATGCCCAGTCTCAATGCCACCACTCTGTTGGCAGGCTTTACCCACCTTAAGTGGGGAAGCAATGCCACAATAAATATATCTAAACTCTCTTGAAATGAGAACTTAGACAACCAGTTTATTTTACACATGTGAAGCAAAATCCTTAAGGTAGGTTCAATATCAACATATCTTCGAAATTTGGTTAGTTGCCTGTGGCTACCAGACCAAATCAATACCCAGAAAATAACCTAACGTTTCTCAGAGGTGCAGAAATACGTACAGCCTTGTGAAACTGCCCTGGAGTCAGTGAAATTAACTAGACAAGAGTTGAGACCATACCATAGCATCCAATATTGACTATCACTTTATTGTCCATCAATTTTTAGAACTATTTATTGAAATATAATATATATAGATATAAACATTCATTATAACTGTACAGTTTAGTGAAATGTCATGAACCAGATCAAAAAAGATGATTGCCAGTGACCTAGAACTCTTTGTGCCCCCTCCCAGTCATTATCCTCCAAAAGGTGATCAATATATTGACTTCTAACAGCAAAAATGTTCAATATTTTATTTTTCAGTAGAATATAGGATAGATTCTATAAAGGAAGGCAATAGTAAAGACAGACTGGTTTTGCAGAAACTTAGTCTTTTAACAAATCAGCCTATTTGTAGTGTGAGCCTGATGTGCTAGTTAAAGAACTGAAACTAGTACTATGTTCATGCCTCTAACCAAGCTCCTGGAAGCCAACAGATTCTTCAATCAGAAAAAGAACCAAACATCCTTATTCTAAATAGTACGACTTTCCTAACCAAAGGAAAGCTTTACTCCTGGGAAGGGACCACAAGGACAGCCAATCTCCTGTGCATCCTGCCCTCAGTGACCTGAGGTGAGGTCACCCAATTCCAGAGACCTACCTCTGAAAGCAAAGGTTTCCTACAGTAGCTTAACCTCATGGATGATGTCCAGCACAGGCCATTCTATGCTGCGACCAGAGAAAAGGAGCACAGCACTTATTTTATATATATATATATATATATATATATATATATATATATATATATATATATATATAGGCTAATATGCAAATCAGCTGAATGGCAGAATAGCCAGTTACTCTGACGCACACTGACCTCCCTGGTGGTCAGTGCACTCCCACAGGGGAAGTGCTGCTCAGCCAAAAGCCCTGAGTCAGGCTCACGGCTGGCGAGCGCAGTGGCAGTCGCAGGAGCCTCTCCTGTCTCCACAGCAGCGCTAAGGATGTCCGACTGCCGGCTTAGGCCCACTTTGCACAGGGAATGGGGCTGAGACATCAGTTGGACATCCCCCAAGAGTGAGCTGAGGGGATCCTCCCCTCAGTGCATGAATTTCATGCACCAGGCCTCTAGATCTGTATATAAATGAAGTATAAACTGCTAAGCCAAAAAATGCATGCTTTCATCATTCACAGAAGGTCCAAACAGGAAGTACATGAAAGTCCAGGGCATTGCATCACTTGCAATCTTGTTGGGCGAAAAAATAAGAGATTCGTCATTGTTTCAAAAAACAACAAAAAAAAAACAACCAACCCAACAAACAACAACTCCCCCCCCCCCCCCCCAAACAAATCTCAGTTAAGAAAAAACTAAGAAGCTTGCTGTGAGAAGGAAGGTACCCCTCAGTATCCTGTGAGGCTCCATTTCCTCTCCCAACCACACACAGTGCACCTCCTAGCTTCTCCCCCCTGCTTCTCCTTGTCACTTCCTACTCCTCTTGGAGAGGCGCCCAGACCTCGGGAGGAAGGCGATGGCGACCCCAGTGCCCCTTGGGCACATTCACACCACAAGAACTAATTGTCCAACAGGGCACGAGGGGCGCGCCGCACCCCCAGAGAAGGCCTACGAACGCCCTTTCTGCCCAGCCACCAAGCCGCTCCCTCTCCACCTGTCAGGGCTGTGGGAAAGCTTAGGGCCCAGAGACAGCCGCGCCCAGCCTCTCGGATCCCTGCAGCAACCCCTCCCCGAAGGACCGCAAAGGGACGGGGAGCCCTCGCCCTCCTCGCAGGCCGCCCGCTGCTCTCCGCTCCCCTCCCGCGGACGGTGTGGAAACAGGAGGAGGCCCGGAGGACCACGGTCCCTTCTCCCCTGCCGGCCGCTCAGCGGTCCTCCCGGGTCCCTGCAGCCCTCACCGCAGCCTTCAGAACTTCCGCTCCGCTCAGGTAGGTGCTGGGGGACCGGAGTGGTGGGGACGGGACCTTCGGAAACTTTCGCACCAATGAGCTCGAACTTTCGTGATTGACGACATGTCTGGCCAATGCCAAGGACAAGAAGATCCTGGCTGAAGGAGGCCCGCCCTTTGCGACCTAAGCCGAGACACCGAGCTTTGTAAATGCCGGGTTCACCGGCCAGTGACAGCTCATCGCGTCGCGGTGAGACACGCCCGGGGGCCCCGCCCCCCCAATGCTGTGTGCGACTAATCAGAAAAGTAAAAGGATCATTGGTTAGAGTTGCAGAAATTTGGAAAAACCCCAAGGATTGATGTGGGGACGTGGGGACCGTGCCCAAGTTCTTAGTTCTCTTTAAGGAACTTTGCTGGAATGCCGCTGAAAGTGGAACTAGCTTGGGACTGATGTTCTGTGTAGGAAACACCCTGTCTGACACCGAGGTTAAGCATAAGGAAGCTTTCCTATTCAATCTGAAGCTGGACTGCAACCCTGCCTCTACACAGATTTCAGCAGCTGGGGAGAATGCTAGCCACCTGCACCTTCCTTCAAATGTCATAGGACCTGCCCTAGCCGGTTTGGCTCAGTGAATAGAGCGTCAGCTTGCGGACTTAAGGGTCCCGGGTTCAATTCTGATGAAGGGCACATGTCCGGGGTTGCTGGCTCATCCCTAGCAGGGGGGCGTGCAGGAGGCAGCCAATAATTCTCTCATTATTGATGTTTCTATCTCTCTCTCCTTCCTTCTTCTCTGAAATCAATATATATATATATTTAAAATGTAGTAGGATCACAGTCTTACAGCTCTCAATCACTCAGCCCCTTAAAAGCCAACTTGGTTAGCTAAAGAGGATAAAACTCCAGCAAATGGTACATACGAATGGAAAAGGAGTAACACACTGCAATTGACAAGCTATGAGGGCGGGGGTGGGGGGATGCACTAAACTCAGAGACCAAAAGTACCCACACAGGATGGTGTGAACATAACAATTCTTTTAAAAAGATATCAATTTTTTTACAGAGAGGTTAAAGAGAGTTAGAAACATCAATAAGAGAGAAGCACCCATCAGCCGCCTCCTGCACACCCCCTACTGGGGATGTGCCTGCAACCAAGGCGCATGCCCTTGACCAGGATTGAACCTGGGACCCTTCAGTCCGCAGGCCTGTCGCTCTATCCACCAAGCAATAAAAATTCTTAATTTAAAGCAGATCATGTTGTTGTCAGTTATGTACTAGGCCGATAGCTTTCTTGACAAACGCCCATCTTTACCATAAGTGAACCTGCCTATTGTTTTTGTGCATCTGGGTTTACATACCTGTGAATGTCAGAGTAGTTTCAGTTATATTAGTTCTCTTGGTAGTGGTAATCAGTATTTGCTGTGTAACTTGCTGGGTCAGGTTTTGAATGTATTAGGTACTCTGTGATAATTATCTAATATCCACACGAAATCTTTACGTTTAGATAGTTTAAATGTCACCCAGACCACCTTCACCCAAATATTACTAAATGTATCCCTCTATTCTGGTCACGCTTCTGTTCAAAGAATGCCTTCTCCCTCTCTTAGAAAAATCCTGCTGTACATATTCCTTGACCTAGAAACAGTTCTCCAGCAAACTCACCCTTGGGAGAAACCGGGAGACACATTTTTACTTTTTCTCAGGAGCCCTCCAGAGAAGTGTGACAGATATGGTCATCTCAATCACCTATGGTTGGTGGGCCTCTAGTGCCTTCCGGTTCTGCGAAATGCAGCCCCTCCTGGGAGACGAGGACTTCCTATCTCTATGATCAAAAGTCATAATGTTTCATCAGATCAAAATCTGAATAATCCCTTTTAAAAGAGATTGGATCCACAATGTTAATATGCAGGCAGTTCTCTGGATCCACAATGTTAATATGCAGGGTTAGGCAGCCTGGCAAGTGCATTGGGGCTCACACTAAAGGATAGTCTGGTTTCCATAGCAACATCCATTCCCTTCTGTGGAGGATTCCATCATCTCTCCTGCCCACTCAGACTTTCCAGAATGAATTGATTCTTGTGACTATAGGTATTTGTCCTTGATCTTCCAAAGAGAAAGGACATGCTCATCCAAAACAGCAACAAAACCAATAATAAAAAAAATATTTAAAAAAAAAACCCACCTGACTGCAGCTAGATTGCTGCATTGCGCCAGCTAGTCTTCCTTGATTTTAAAATTCCATATCCTTTCTCCGTTTTGTTCTGTTCTCTAGCCTTATCCATCATTTTGGGAAATAGGTTTCTCTGATAGAAAACAAACAGATGGCAACTCTGTGGTCCTAAAACTGGCTGTGATGGAGCTGCAAAATGAAGTTTTCTCTGCAAGGCTACCTGAAAGCCTGGGCTTGGGCGGGGGTATCCAGCCTGTGGGTCTGATTGGAGGGACAAAGATACGAACTGCTTTCCACATTTAGCTCCCAGTAGAGCAGTTACAGTCTCCCACATTTTGCCATTAGAGATTTGTTTCCTTAGGTTAGGCATTGCTCTCCCAAGCAGTATTTCTTAAATTGCATGTACTCCTGGGAAAACTAATCTATTAGATTACGAATGCTGAAAGAACTTAGGAAAGCGAAGAGGAGGTGCAGAGGGAAGGGTATAAAAGTGGCTCTGAAGACCACTTTTGTCTGCTTCACAATGACATCTTCGGCAAGAGGGGCGGTGCAGGTCCTAGCCCGGGCTCTGTGCTCCCTCCTGGGCCAGGGTACCTTGTCTGGCAATGCTTGCAAGGCTGCCTGACCTGGAAGATCTGTGACCAGAAAAGGGGGAAGAGCAAAAATATTTGTTGTTTATCCACTATTGCTCCAAGGATTACTCAGAAGGTGGTGGCAAATCAGCTCTACTCTAAGATGACCTTGAATATCAGAGCGCCGCACAGATGGGATGTGCAGACATGTGACCCCCTGGAGCAGTGTCTCAGACTCTTCCTGGAGCTGGATGCTAAGCACTTTAAGGACCAGAGTTCACGTCTGCCTACAGTTGTATCGGTAGACCCTGCAGGACTATGCACATCATTGTGCTGCCTTTGTACGGCTGGTGAGAGGATACAAAGGCTCTCAGGTAGATGTGCTCATAAACTGGCACCCTGGCACCTCTCCGACAGGCCTATCTTTCCTGCGTGCCAAACTTTCCTCCTGGTTGGAGAGATTAAAGACATTTCCCCTGAAATATAGCCTACCTATTATACTCTGATCCACCGGTGATTTAGTTAACATCTGCTTTGTCCAACACAGCACTCTGGTTCCCAGGTACAGTGTGAGAGTTTATGAAACTGGCCCGAGTTTTTTTTTGTTGTTGTTTGTTTTTTAAATATATTTTATTGACATTTTTACAGAGAGGTGGAAGGGAGAGAGATAGAGAGCTAGAAACGTCGATGAGAGAGAAAAATCAACCAGCTGCCTCTTGCACAACCCCTACAGGGGATGTGCCTGCAACCAATGTACTTGCCCTTGACCGGAATCGAACCTGGGACCTTTCAGTCCGCAGACCGACGCTCTACCACTGAGCCAAACCGGTTTCGGCGGGGCCCAAGTTTTTTGTCAGTCCCTCGCCCATCTTCAGGCCACTTACTGATTTTATTAGTTCTTCATTTTAAATTGCTAAGCATGCCCAGCTCTTCTAATTCTTTTTCTCTGTTCCTCTCATAATTAACTATGAGAAATGGAAGATAACAAATCCTATCGTTTATTATTTTTTATAAATATAAAAGAAAAATAAGATCGTGGGGTCAATAGAGGTGCCAGAGAACCTATTAGGCAGAAACAATTTTCTTGCAGGATCCTATTATTATCTATTCTGATGGTGATGTATTCTAAGGTTCCAGTGAGGAAATGGAACTGTACAAGAGAAACATCAAGGGTGTGTTGTGTGGTGGTTTTGTGTGTGTGTGTGTGTGTGTGTGTTTAATGTATTTTATTGACTTTTTACAGAGAGGAAGGGAGAGGTATAGAGAGAAGCATCAATCAGCTGCCTCCTATACACCTCCCACTGGGGATGTGCCCACAACCAAGGCACATGCCCCGACTGGAATCTAACCTGGAACCTTTCAGTCTACAGGAACATTTTATCCACTGAGCCAAACCAGTTAGGGCTGTTGGGTTTTTTGTTTGTTTGTTTGTTTGTTTTTAAAGGTTGAATTTAGGGCATATTACATCCAAATTCCACCATATACATTGTCTACCACTAAAGAACACTGGGGAATGGGAACGGTTGGTAAAGACACCAATCACTTTTATAAACAAAAACAAATATAGAATAGCGAATAAACATGAAAATAATGATAATTCACTTTTACATTAGAAGAAAGTATTGACTTTAGTTCTCCAGGCTACCCTTAAGCTACACATACATGCCAACTTCCAGGAGCTAGGAAATCAAAGGATGCCTACAGGGAAAAGCCTGAATTCATGCACACCTTGAACTCAGAACCCACCCCTCATCACTGGTCTCCCTTGGGGGCAGGCCAGTTCCCTCCCAGGGTGCTCCTGTTGTGCATTTTCCCGTGGGCCTGCAAGCCTCAAGCTAAAGGCTACGTTAAGGGCAAAGAGCAGCTGGCAAAGAGGAAAGCAAGAGCTCGGAGACGAAGGCCCCGCTACAAAGTCCAGTGCCAAGGGCCAGCTGTGGTGGGGTTCGAAACGAGGAGCCCTGGAGAGAGCCGCCAGCGGACACGAACGCTCTAAGAAACACAGAGTCACTGCACCCGTCCCTCCCCTCGGCGCACCTCCAGCTCAAAATGGCGCCGGCGCCCCGCCCGCCCGCCCCCGGCGGCCGCCCAGCGGGCGCGCGCCCGGCGGGCCTGGGGACCCGGGGACGCGGCCGTGCGCGTGCGCAGCCTCACGCTGGCAGCGCGCCTGCGCGGAGACCCGGAGGCGGCGGCGGGCGCGCGCGCGCGGCGGGGGCGGGCTCTGCCAAACGCAGCGCTGCAGCCGCGGAGCCGGACGTGTCCGCGAAGATGGCGGGCCGGGTGAGTGCTAACCCCGGGAGCTGCGGCTTCAGGCGGGGGGTGCCGGGCTTGCGGGCACCCCGAGGTCCGGACAGCCCCAGGGGAAGGAGAAGGGGTCTGAGCAGATAGCGCGTTGGAGGGGGCAACAGGCCAGAAAAAGGGCTTGTTGAGGGGGAGTTGCTTGGAAATAGCCCTCCTCATAAACTCCATCCTCCTAAGAGCTCCAGGGGAGGTGGACCCCTCGCTCCCTGGGCCTCCTGCGTCCCCATGAATTCCCCCCTTTTCCCCTCGCTTTCGGCTGTTTTCCTTGCCCCTCAAGGCAGCCGCAGGGTTGTGGCCGTTCCATCCCCTGTGTGGACGGACTCGGGGGGGGGGGGTTCCCCCGCACCCCCTTTCGAGGGCTTATGAGGGGCAGCCTCCGGGGTAACTGCGGAGGATCCGGGTGCTGCATTGGGGCGAGGGCTGTGGGAGGAAGGACCATCAGGAACCTATTTCTGGTTCTTGAGAATCAAAGGTCTTGGGGAAGGAGGAGGAAGTGCCAATGACTTGGTGGCCAAGCCCGGCTGTCGAGGGACCTGTCACTGTCGGATCGTGCAGGGAATGCCTTTAGCTTGGGCTGGGCATTCGGCGTGTCGCTTTTTTTGCTTTTATGAATGACAGCCGTCGCTTCGAAGGCTGCAGGATGTGTTGTAGCATCAGGGTTTTATATTTTACCTTCTCTGAGGTCTCGGCGTGGTATTGTGTTGGCGAGGGAGGGGGGAGAGGGCTGGTGGTGCTGTGCTGTGTTGCAGTGCGCTTGGAGCTAAGCGCTCTCAGAGGGATGGATCCTGCCCAGAGATTACACTGGTCCTAAACCCCGGGATATGAACTGCGTCATTGGGGGGGATAAGGATGTGCTTGACGGATTATTTACCCCAGAATGTTTGAATACGTTGCTTGCGTCGATTGATGCATGCACGCAAATGCCCTACCTAAAGGAAATGGTCATGGGATTCCAGAGTGAGAAGAGACCGGAAAGGTCATTTCATTTGGCCTCTTTCTGCTCTTGCTTTTTTTTTTTTTTCTGCTTTTCCTCTCCTTTTTCATCTGTGGCTACTTTGTCCACCCATGTTTCAGATTCTGGTTTTCCCACCTTCTTAGGAATCCCACTCCTCTGTATCCCCCTGCTCCATCTTAACAGGCTCAGGCTACCCCCTCCCCCGTCCTCTGAAAACAAACCCTCCCTCCGCCTCCACAGCTGTCACCTTTTCTCTTCCCACTTTACAGCCGGGCATCTTAATGGAATTGTCTCCCATTTCTTTGCCGCCTGCTCACCCCTCAACCCATTGCAGTCTGATTTTTGGCCCTGTCATCCCACTGAAATGTGTCTCGAAATTGTTCAATGCAGATGTTCCTCAAGGCTCTCTTCTCGCTCTCTATTTTCTCCTTGGGCAGTTTCTTCTAATGCCACAGCTTCCAATAGTATCTATGTGTCAATGCTTTTCAGTATTTTACTCCCAGTAAAGACCTATCCTTGGAGTTCCAGATTAATGTATCAAATTACCTTTTCAGAACGGGGTACGCGCTGCCACCTCAGCCCTAGCCTGTTTGGCTCAGTGGACAGAGCAGCTGCCTGCGGACTAAAGAGTCTCAGGTTCAATTCCATTCAAGGGCACGCACGTACCTCCATTTGCAGGCTCTATTCCTGGCCTTGGTCAGGGTACATGCGGGAAGCAAGCAATCCATATTTCAACAAATGGGCATCACCATCCATGCATTTATATAGGCTAGAAACCTGGAGTGGGGGTGAGGATGTCATTCTTTATATTGCTTCTCTTTCACCACATCCCCCAACACTGAGTTCTCTCCACTCCCTTCTACTACCCCCACCACCAACAACAACAAACACGTTTTAGGGCCAAAGAATCTGCCTTGGGTCATTGCTGCTTTAAACTGCACCCAAATCACCCACTGGGCTGGTCACATGGGTTCTGCCATTTTAACTTCCTAATAATCTCTTCAGTCGATCCACCTCTGTAACATCTTCGTTTTCACCTCCTTTTCCCTAACCATCATTTCTGGTCCGTCCGAACTGTTGCGGGAAGCTCCGAAGTAGACTGTTTACGCCAGTGTCCACATTGATTGTTCCCTCCCAAACCCATTAAACCCCACCCTTGATAGCATCCCATTAATTTTGGGTGAAGACCAATTCTGTAACCAGGCCTGTAAGGTCCTTTGTGGTTCTACTCTTGCTTCTTTCCACTCCCCCACTTACTCTCTATGCTCAGGTTATATATAAGCCTTGAAGCTACAGTGGTTTCTCGTATCACAAGGTCTTTGCTTGTGCTTTCTTTGTAATGTTTTACTCCCAACCATTTCCCTCTTACTCAGATCACTCAACTACTTAAAGGAAGCCTATTCTAATACCACACTTCAAGTCAGGATCTGTTGTTATATATTCTTAAAGAACTGTATTGCTTTCCTTAGAGATTTATCTGTTATTTTTAAATTTACTAATGTGATTATTTGCCTCTACCATTATATTTTACCTTCCATTAGATCATGTTGGTTTTTTTTTTTTTTTTTGGTTTTTTTTTTTTACTTATTGTCATCATTGAACTTTGCACACTGCCTGCGACCACCAAACGGTGCTACAGCCGGGTTTTTTAAAAGATGAATCTAATTTCTCTTTGAATACTCTAGTGATAGATGGTGCATTGCCATGAAGGTAGCCCATTTTACTGACATGCTAAAAAGATTAAATTAGGTAATAAATTTTCTCAGCTATTATAAATTTTTGCTAGTAATAAAGCAGAATCTAGTTTTATTCTTCTTACATTGAATATGGACTCTTATTTAGAACGAATTCCACATACAGATGGCTACCACTGCCCCAGGCCTCTTCAGAATTCTCACGCTACAGCTGCTCTGGAATCATGGAATCAGAAGTAAAGAAGGATTCTGAAATGCAGCCTTAATAGCTTAGGAGAGCTGATTATAGATAGGGAGTGACTCCTTAGTAAGGCTACTCGATTGGGTATCGCTTTCTAGGCCCTTTATATTACCACCACAACTCCATTACAGGAAGAAAAGAAAGAAAGAAAGAAAAGAAGAAAGGCTTTCCATATTGCCTGGACTTTTTGTAATCTGTCTTTAAAAATTACCAGGAATCTTCCTGGAGATCCAGCAGTTCTTTTCTGAAAATATACATACATTAATGCAAATAAACCAATGAACTGTTTCTTCCTGCACCTTGTTGAGGGGATTTGTTGTGAAGAAATAGAGTGGGATGATGTTAAGTAGGCATCTAAGGCAAAGAACTCTTGTAGGAGTTGAAAGGAGAATAGAAAGATGCTAGAGGTAAAATTTACCTAATCCAACGTTTTGCCTAGACATACTGATATATTTAGTATCTCTTAGTATGTTGAAGAAGCTTTTGTAGCCTAGTCCAGAAACCTACCCATTTATACTTTATGGGTGAATGATATTTTTACTATCAATCTTCAAATGAAGTTTTGGAGTACAAGTTATAAATTGGAGATAGCTCATGTGCAGTACCACAAGTCAAAATAAATAATATGTTTCATGGTCCCATTTTCTAAATCAGTGTTTTGCTATCCAAAGCATATCAACTTTCTGAAATCATATATGCAGTAGTTATTGCTTTTCTATATTATGTTAAAGATTTTGAAAAGTATCTTCAAGTGCTATACATCTTAGAAAAATAAAATTGAACTCTTTTTTTTTTATGAAGAATTTTAAAAAATATATTTAATTGATTTTGTACAGAGAGGAAGGGAGAGAGATAAAGAATTAGAAACATCGATGAGAGAGAGTCATCGATCAGCTGCCTCTTGCACACCCCCTACAGGGGATATGCCCGCAACCAAGGTATATGCCCTTGACCGGAATCAAACTCAGGACCCTTCAGTCCCAAGCAGACGCTCTATCCATTGAGCCAAACCAGTTTTGGCAAAATTGAACTCTTTATAGCACTGTAAAATAGCTGATTCTTTCTGAAACCCAGAGGAATTTATGCTCAAGTTGGGTGTATTCTTTTTTTTCAAGTATTTAAATCAAGGTGTAAAGATGTTAGGTGAAAGTATGTGAATTATCCCACTGTTAAAAAATTCCTGAATTGATAGAACAGTGAACTCTTGCAAACATCAATACACTAGACATTTGCAGTAATGTTGTTTTTAAGGGTCCATGGTATTTTAGGTAATCTATAAACGATATCCTTTATCATACTTCAGCATTGATATTTTTGAATGAGCTTTGAGGTCTAACTTACACTGTCTTCCATTTCCTAGTGATTTAATCTCTAATTTCTAACTTATTTTTTATGATGAAAACTAAATATTCCTTTTCTAAAAGCTCTGTGCATTTTAAATTTGTATATTTTATATAAATGTGAAGAGATTTCTAGCATGCTGAAAAGATAAACAAATATCTATGTGCTCACTATCCAGATGTAAGAAATGTTAACATATTTTGATATTTGCTTCAGATTTTTTAATTTTTAGAAATAAAACATTACAGATCCAATTGAATCCCTTTTGTATCCCTTGATTCCACTGACCTTTCCCAGAAATAACCACTATACTAAAGTTGGTCTACGTAGATCCTTTCTGTTTACAATCTACATATATTTGTGCCAAAAAAAAAAAAAAATATATATATATATATATATATATATATATATATATATATAGTGTTTTTTAAAAACATATATGTAACCAGATGCAGGTCCGGCTGCCTGTCACAACAAAAGCCAAACTTGTGAGAAGGAAAGTCATTTATTCAAACACTGGCTCCCTGAGAAGATGGGGAACTCTCCTCCCAAGGCCCATCTCCCCATCTCAGTATGAGAAAAACAGAACAAAGGGATCGAAGGGAGGGAGCTGAGAGTTCTCCATGGAGAACACTGCGGTGGACCAGCACAGTCTATTCTGATAAGGATCTTGAAACTGGTCAAGCAATGGTTTGATGTGCATCCTTTTGCTTTTTGTTTGAAGGTCAGCAAATTTCCTGGAGCTGGA